GGATTGCAGGTACCTAAAAATTCTGTTGGACTTGGTTTAGTTGCATGCTGCCCCATACTGTGCTTCTGGAGTTACTGTACTCCCACCTGGTCTGAAGAACCTGATAGTCCGGCCAGTGGTAGTGGCACTGTGGTGGGATGCATTCGTTTGTTGGTTGCAAGGCCTTGGTGCCTTCTGGTAGACTGAGCAGGATTAATCCTGCTGATTCCTTGCTTCTCTGGCATCTGTATCCTGCTTCCAAGATTCGACCTAGTAGTTGCATTATCTGTACAAGAGAAACAATGCCCATTTGCCTGAAAAGGATGTCGTTTTTCTCTCGATCCCTGAAATGCTATGAATGCTAGCTTCCACCGTTTTTCTTGAGGAAATCCACCTTCTATATTAGGCATATTCTGGAGAATTCTTTATGGGGATACCTTGAGACCTTTGTAAACCGTTCTATGTTAGCTCTGAAGTGTCTGTCTCTTGGATAGAATTGCTTATCCATAGTTCACAAAACCTCTAAACCTGGATGAGTAAGAAGTGGCAGAGGGTGAAGAAAACTAACGCAATTAAAAAGGTTAGTTATGTGGGGTATTGCCTGCTTTTGGAAACCTTACAGGGAAGGTGTCAACACAGCCTTCCAGAGCCTGGAGGCAGCCACCAAGAAGGCTCCCACCCATGTCCTCACTCCACCTGTGAGGGTGGTGGATCCATGAGAAGGTCTTGGAGCTCATTTGGGAGGATATGGTCTTTCAGGTACCCTGAAATGATGTAATAATTAAAGTAATTCAAGTTGGGAAAGAACAATAAATAAACACAGGTGTTTATCCTCTGCAGCATGGGGTTCCCACGTTAATAAGTGCAGTGAACCCCTCGGCGTGCAAGTTGACATGGTCATGGAAGTCAGTGAGCTTTAACATTTCCTGAAATTACTCCAGATGTGTCCCCTAATTGCTTTCACTTTCCGCCCCACTGAGTTCACGAGAGCATTCACAAGGCCCAAATACACCCAGTACCTTACATGTGGAGTTATATGTGTTTTTTCATCAATGAATTCTGGAAGCCCTGCTGTGATTTTCCCCAGAGACACTGTGTTCTCCTACTAGCCTGACTGAAACCTTTTGTTTCTGTCACAAGTATCTTCTGGTAACTTTTTGATGTTCTCAGAGTTGTTACCACTTGGAAACCACATTTTAAAACTCGTCATTAGAACACACCACAAAGAAGCAACGATAATACTTCAATACTAGAGAGTTAGAGGGCTTTCCTTGTGTAATGGCAGCAGCCATCATTTCTGAGACTGGTCCACTGTGCGCTCAGTGCCGTGCGCTTCTCTCGGGCTCGTGAGAACCCCCCTGTTCTGTGGCATGTTCCGGTGTGACTAGAACACTTCGGGTTCCCTCCAGTTGAAGCCTCAGTAGCTGCTTGGCTTTGGAGTACGGTGCTTCAACGACATTCTTCTGCTGTACTTTCGCTGAAGGTGGCAAACAACCATTTGTCCACAATTTCTCATACTTGTGAGCAGGAGAAGGAATAATTCAGCAGCATCCTTTAACTGATTTACTGACTGAACATAGTACAAGATAGAATTATCTTTCCTCATAGTTTTTTTTTTTTTACATTTCCTTGCTGTCAGCTGTAATAAGGCCTCTGAGAGCAGGAAAAAGAAAGCTATACCAAGTACCCCCAGAGAAATCTGCCCATTGCTGTGCCGTGGGATGTTGGTGCAGATAATGTCTAATGCAAGAAGTTTGTTCAACTCTCCATCTTCCAAAAGGTGAATTTAATCTGATGGAAGGAAGCGTTTTTGATTTACCCTCCTAACAATTTGCATTGTGAACATTTTCTTACCATTGGGTGTTTCTTCTAAAATGCCATTAGTGCCGGCTGCAAAATGGACCAAAGAGTCTTTTATATACTCCGTGGGTGGTATTAGCTTTTTCCCATTTTCCCCTGAATGAATTCATTATATTGGCTAGCAATATATTTGATACTGTAAACATTGTCCTAGGAAATCCCATCTGTTAACTGAGTGAAGGCTTCAATGTGCAAAGGAAAGAATTTTGTGGACTGGCTTGGCACGAGTTTCCTACCAAAGCAGCAAACTGCTACTCTTCATTTCTCTGACACATGGTATGATTCTGTGCCTCTGTAGCAACTATATATTCCGCATCAGTGCAACGTTGTAAAATCTAATTTGCTTGCACTATTTTTGAATTGTATGAGCTGACTGAATGACATTTGAGTGAATTTTCTTGTTTTATGTGTCTTCTTACAAAAGATCGCAGTTCACTTTGGGAACTGAGAATCATAGTAGACATTTGGATTCGGCGTTTGCAATAACTCTAACAGTTGGACATTCCAGGGTTTTACATGATTTTTTTCTGTTTCAGTTAACCTTTCAATGTGGCCTTTCTGTATAAATTAACCGTAACATTTTATGCCAAAATATTTATAGATAATCTGCATTACACTGCAGAAATGTTTGTGCCAGATGTTTCAATTTATTTGTTGCTAAATTCTTTGTCAACAGAAAGCAGAAGCTTAATGTTTTTCACGAAACTCCATTAATTTGTGAAGCCCAGAAGTAGTTCTTTAAAATATTCCCTTTTCTGGCCTTCAGTGCCACCTATTAAACCAGCTGGTTCTTCCTTCATGTTTCTTTGCTGGCTCCATGATCATCCACTGTTCACACAGAGCTTTTCATATCTAGTAAGAAAAAACAAAATTTATATAAAATATTTTCTGGAAGATGGTAAATTGCTACCTTTCTATGCTCTGTATCTGGACATCCCCTTTATTATACTTCAGTGTTCGTGACAGCAGATCTAATGGTAGTACGTGGACAAATAAGGCTGCCATTTTGTGATGTTTTCACGGGTGTATGAACCCAACTCAAAATGGGCACTTAAGACAGTTTTTTAAAAAATAATGCTTGCCACTTGTAGCAAAGATTTGTCTACTGGGTTACACAGTTTGATGTTGCTCTCCCCCCAGCCTCATGCTGAGAAGAGAACCAAGAAACGGAAAGCTGTTGACACATGAATTAAGTTTTCCAGCCTGAAGAACTGTGCACACCACACAGCTTGTTGGGGCACCCTCAATTTTGCTGTCACTAATTCTTCCATTCCGCATCTGGACATACAAGTATTTCAGTGACCTACATGTATTCTCCCACGTACTTCCTAGGGACAGGTACCTGAAAAAAAGATAAATTATAATGCTGAGATCTGGCGCACCTGTTCCCTTGGTCTGTGGGTTGTCGTGAACAAAGCAGGTAGGCGTGAGGACAGCAGTGGCAGCTGCTCAGCCGTTTTTCCTGTGGAGCTAAATGCTCCAGAGATGCCCAGTCACAGGCAGTGGATGTCCTTCATGAGTGAACTGGGCACTGTGGGTGACTGGGAGAGGGGTGGCTCAGAGCTGAACTTGGGGCTCGGGACACAGTCCTCTCCTGCAAGCCCTCACACCTGCAGCACAACCATTGCTTCTCAAGAGGGTAAATCAAAAACTCTTCCGCAAGATCGCCTGTGCTTTGGCTAGGGAGGCTGCGTTTCCTCCTAGCGAGAGTGTCTTGGAAGGGCTGGGGAGGCTGGCATCAGGGCGCCTTGTGCCTTGGCTGCTCTGATCTCCCCAGCTGATCTCGCTTCCTCCCAGTGCTCATTTTCCTGACCTCAGAGAGCACAGAGAAGTCTTTTGTACCACTTGGGAGGGGCAGCAAGAACTGGCAGTTTTGCTTATTCCTGCTTCTTCTTCTTCATCATCATTGCAATGCATTAAAGTTTTTCCTGTGACTGCCTCAGTAAATACTGTAGGTTGTTGTGATATGTGACCCTGAAACTGTCAGGTTTGTCCGGTATTTTCATTTGGTATCCATTCATTGCTGCTAATGAACTAATGGTATGGGAAACTGGAGCACACAAGTCCCTGCCATTCCTTTTCCATCCCAGTGATTCTCCTTAAGAGGGGTTCCCCCAATTTTGCTGTGCAAGCTGCACTCTCCTCTTAACCCAAGGGAGCTCCCTTGTTCAGGCGGCCTCCTTAAGCCATTATTTCTTCCCTGGAAGAACTAAATTGCTGTTGTGCGAGAGACACGCTCACTAGCACTCTAGCACTCTTGAGGCAGAAGAAAATCGAGCAAGGCAGGAGCACCTTGTTGGATTCTGGTCTTTTGGGAGAGTTTCCCACACCGCTTCAGTGCAAAACAGGCACGCCGGAGCAGCAGTAGACCGCTTGCCTCCATCCTCTCTAATGGCCGAGGTAGGAAAGCAGCAGTTTGGGTGTTCAGCTCCCTACTAGGTCACTGCAGGAACGACACAGGCTGTGCTTCGCCTGCAAGGACACGGGGCGTGAGGAGTGGATGCTCAAGCGGCAGTCCACCGATGGAGCGTTCTGTGGTGGTGTCCGGCACACCTGCTCAAGCCCCAAGTGTGCCCACAGCTCCAGCTGTGTTTGGGGCCCATGCTGTGGGGGGGCCTCCCTCAGAGGGCATCTGTGTGCGTGCTCAGCTGAGGGGGAGACCCTGCGTGGGGCTTGCTAGACTGCATCATTCCCCAATTCACTGTGATGTGGTTGGCGGGCCTCGAGGCTGGGCAAAGAGGACATGCGGGCATTTCTCCTTACAAGCCTCACACACACACAGATGTCGATATGGGGGTCCTGTGCAGTTTTGCAGAGTTCGTAAATATTTTGTGAGTAGAGAAGGAATGGGCCAGTTGCATGTTTGATTGTCAAGATGGTGACATTTCAGGAAAGGGGGGCAGCCATGTGCTTCCAGCAGGGTTTCTGTTCCAGGGTATCACCTGGCCAGGGTAGGATATTTCGGGGTGCTTAAATTTCTTAGTTGTAAATGATGCTCGCTCTGTAAGTTTTCAGTGTGGATTTTATCCCAGGGATGCATTATGTCTCACGGGGAGCTGTTCTGTTGTGTCATGTAAACCGTCCTTTCTAATGCTAGCTGGCTTGTTAGTGTCTTATCAGCAGGGCGTGACAAATCTAGCTGTACAAAAACAAAGGTGTGAGTATGCACATAAATGTGAAAGAAAAACTATATGTCCACTTACTCACTTAGAGGAGCAGTTTCCTTCAGGTGCTTGTCAACTTTTCTCTGGTTTCAGGTGTCATGCCTGCTCAGTGGGGGTCTTGCTTGCTGCTGTGTCTCATAGCTGGCCAAGAATCAAGATAAAAAGCTCTTCTGCTAAGTAAACTTGGCTTTCTTGTTTCCCCACCACCCAAAATACTCTGGGTTTCCTATGAAATGGTCCTTTTTGTTCCTTTTCTCCCTTCTCTTCCTATTTAAAGTGTTCTACTGATCTTTGTTGTTATGGTTTCCCTTCTCCCTTCCTCTCTAGCTCTTAAAACAGCCCTTGGGAAATCCCAAGCTAATTATTTTAACTTCAGGAAATGTTTGGTTCTTAGTTGCGATACTGTGCATAGATCTGCCAGCTCAGCATCAAATTTTATTACTCAGAAGGTAGGGATTCGGCCTGGGTAAATTTACGGCCATGTGTTCTACAAGAGTTGATATAATGGGAGCAATATAAACACAAGCACTAGTCAAAATAGATCTTTGAGTATTAATGCTTATGTTTCTTTCTTTTGTTTTAATGCAGCAGCATAAAAGTGGAACTCTATTTGGCTGAATGGATTTGAAAAGTAACCCTCTGCTGTTAACCAAAAAAAGTGTCACCCACCTCAAAATGAAGCAAGTGCCAGAGATTCTTGGAAGTCCTGCAGGGAAAGCACAGAACTGTGAACTGAATCGAGAGTGTTCTGTCTACCTATCCAAAACACATCTTTCTGCCACACTACAGGAGGAGGTCATGCCAAAATATAACGGCCATGACGCTCTCCCATATATTCCAGCGGAGAAGCTGAAAGATCTCACTTCTCGTGTGTTCAATGGAGAATCTGGAACACAAGATGCCAAGCTGCGTTTTGAATCTCAGGATATAAAGGAAGCTGAAACACCACCCAACACCACTCCTGCGAAGAATGGCTCTCCGGAGATTAAACTGAAAATCACTAAAACTTACATGAATGGAAAGCCTCTCTTTGAATCCTCCATTTGTGGTGATAATGGAATAGCTGTATCTCCAGCAGAGGACAGCGAAGAAAAACCAGCAAATAAGGAGAAGAGAAACAGAAAAAGAAGCATCAAATATGACTCCTTACTTGAGCAGGGTTTTGTTGAAGCTGCGTTAGTATCAAATACCTCTAGCACCTCTAATGAGAAGGTACTGAGTTTCTTTGTTAAGTTTCCTTTTGGGTGATTATATGTTACACTGGCTGATACTATATTTTAATATATTTCAGCATGTTCTTTCAGACACCATCCTTTGATCAGATGGCAGCTCCTAACAATTCTCAGTTTCTTAACCTGTTAATAAGCCTAGCAATTAATGCTGAAGAGGGTGGGCATCCGTGCCTCGCTTCAGTCACTTTCTCCTTTCCCTTCTCGTAAGTTCCCTGCCTCCTGCCCTAACCTGTTTGTTCCCACCCCAGGACTGCTTTCCTCTGACAGATTTCCCACTGCTTTGCATGCCACCTCCCTGCTGCTGCCATGCCTTTCCCAGGGAGTCAGCCATAGGAGAAACCAGTAGTTTTACACTGTTCTGTCATACCGATGTTACTTTTTGTTTGGGCATTGCTCATTGATCCTCAATACGTTTTATGCTGCTTACTAACCAAAGTTACCTACATGGCTTACAAAAGTTCTTGGAGTGGGAAAAAGTGACATTCCATACAGTGCGAAAAGTATGACACGAGCCGCAATGTCCCAGTGAGCCAGATGCGAAGAACCTGCACCTGGTTCTTTACTGCTGACTCTGCCTGAGCTCATTCCAAGCCTAGGAATTCGTCTTCAGTAATCAAATTTGAATTGAGTTTGCTGTCCTGTCATGCAAAACTCCCTCCTGGTTACCTCACGTTCTTCACTTCAGCAAACTAACTTAGGTTAAGTGATGCATTGTGGAGCCATGTTGCAGCAGCCTGCCTAAGCTGCAAACACACAACAGCGGGAGAATCCACGTTTTGTTTGAAATCACGGCTGTCAGTGTAATTGCAATCGATTGTAGTGAGCTCTGCTGAAGCTCCTTTCAAGTTCCTTCCCTTTCTTCCTCTTTCTGGATGCATTTGTTGCTACCATGCCAGCTTGATAACAGTTCTGGGTCTCTAGAAACAGTTCAGTTGAGAGCTGGAAGTTTAAAAAACAGCCAAAATGCATTCGGCATGTTTCTGAAATTATTGCAGTTCTCAGCAAGGGCAAAACCGTGCACGGTGCCCACGGTCAGGGAATGGACTGCTTCCGCATCGGGAAGCAGGGCTCCTGAAATGCCGAAGCAGGGCAGATTGGGGGGCACCCCCCCAAGGAGTGCCACTGCCCCATTTCCTCTTGCTTGCACGAGTCCTTCCTGTGCCTGCAGTCATTTCTGTGAGCGCAGAAGAACAAGTGGAGGTCCAACAGCAGTATAGGGCACTGTTTGCACTCCATATTTTTAAATGAATGTATTTCTATAGCACAGTTTCTTACACTGTTGTGTGTTCGCACAGTTTGGTGGATGGTGCCACCAGCTGAGGTCAGAAGCCAGTATGAGACCAACAGAGATACTGGAATGCGGTAGTCATTTGAGTAATGTTCAAGTGATTGTCTTCCGTATATACTGAACTGGACTTGATTCAGTGCAAGTTTAGTATTTTCCCTGAAATTTGTGGTGGAAGACCAAAACACATACAATCTCAGCAGTTCTTAACAAACTCTTGTTACATATATATTTTTAGTTTGTTTTGTATTTGTTGCAAGTCCAGCTGGTGCACTCATAGGTAGTGAGCCTGAAGTGTGGATCCAGACAACTTGGGGTCATTCAGAGGTTGACTGCTGAGTTAACCAAATGTGGGTTGACTGTTCAGATGTCTAGTCTCTAAATGAGTGGCTGCCAGGCCTTTTGTACCCATGAGAACATTTGTGAATTGACGAAACCCCTTGGGGGCACCATGACAAAATGCCTAATCAGCCAGTCATCACTTTGATATGGATCTTAGGTGTCCCCTCGCTAAACAAAATCTTCTGTTTTGTGCGGGTTGAACACCACTGTGTCTGATTGCCTAATTCAGCTGATAGCTATGCTACAGTGCATCAAACACTATTTTGAAACCTGTGTCTTCACAGTGGCCAGTAGTTGTTTTCCCTCCTAGTAGCTGGGTGGAGATTATTACACAGATAAATGTTGCACTGTGATACATGCTCTTGTAAATTATTTATCTTCTTAATTAACATTTACAAATAGTTGGCATGTATGGGTTCTCTGAATCTTCCCTGGACAGCTAAAGGTCTGTAATTGTAATGTGCTGTCGTATATTGGAGTAATACCATCTCCTACAGTGCATGGCAGGAGGACCTTTCAGTAACTGAAAGGGTTGCGCCTTCACATGGATATCTGTTGGGCTGTTTGGTATGGTTTTGTTGTTGAAGCCTATTCATAACAGCTACAGGTTGCTTGCATTTCATACAAACCCAAGTATGTCTGTTACAAAAAGGGAATCATTCTTAAGAATGTTGGGTGCTCACACTGGGGGTGCCTGCCCTGGACAATCCAGCAGTAGAGGTTTGCACATTATATTCTCAGCCTCTGATTGCGTGAATCAACTTGTTTTCAGGAAACGGAAGCGGTTTGTGCAAAGGGCGCATCCTAGTAAATTGTGGATTGCTTAACCCGTAATTTGCCAGCACTGCATCTCAGCTAACTTAGTGGAGACTTGACCTAGGCTTAGACTGAAAGTAGCATTTAATGGGCTGCATTTAGTCAGCCCATTTTACAAAGGATATTTAACCTCTAGTGCTTTTTAGCACTCTAGCAAATATTTAGCAATATTTGTAAACTGTCAGGCTGAAATTATTGGTTGACTATTCATCTTTTAACATTTGTCAATTTTTAAATCTGTTTGGACACCAATGGAAAGGAGAGACCGAGTCCAGGATGTAATAAATAAAGTTGTATTTCTTTGAGAGTCAAGGTTAGCTACTGGGAGTTGTTTAACCAGGATTAATTTATTGTGCCTGGGTTGGGATGTCACATGGCAGCCCCAAATTGGCTTGACCTGGAGTTGAATATGCCAAGTAGTGACCGAAAGCGCCTGGCCCACGCCACCACATCTGCTAGGTTAATCGATGCATGATCGGCTCCCATTATTTGTGAACGGGGCTTCTGCCTTCTGATTCCAATTTCCTTTTTCCTGGTGGCATCTTTACTTGTTCCGGCTGTGCTGAGCCATCTGCCAATTTTGGCCTGGGCCTGGCAGCCAGCCCAGCATCTTTATTCGTTAATATTTCGTAATAGGATGAGTGGCATTTCAGGATGTGAAAGAAAAGCTTTTCCTTCCCCTTCTCTTGAAATTCACCCTTCCCTAGGAGCTTTGTGCTTCTCGACTGTGCTGTCTGGGGCTGTTTTCAGATGGGTGGGAATCCAGGGCAGGACCTTGCCTGTGGAGGGTCAGGTGTGCTCACCACAGCGGTTGTGGGTCTGCCTCGAAGCACCGCGGATGCTGGAGGAGGAAGTGCAGTTAGCAGGGCAGGCAAAGGCTGTCCAGATGGCATGGACAAGCGCGGCGGCGCCCGCCTGGGCTTCTCCTGCTAGCACACTGGGGCTATCCAGATGAGGATGTAGCAACCTCTTGCCCTTCAGAGTGGCCGCAGATGTTGGGGTGCAGCTCTCAGCATCCAGTGCCATGGTCTCTGCTGGTTAGGACTGGTGGGAGTTGAAGTTTAACAGCTTGGCGGGGGGGGGGGCACAGATTTCACACGGGTGTCTTAAATGAGGACAAGTGCAAGCCGCACAACAGAATTACTTAATCAGCTTTGGAGTGGTTAGCCAGTGTAGTTCATTTTGGGAGAGGTGGCTTGGATGGCTTTGCCCCATGAAGCACTGTCCGTATGTGTGTGTGTGTGCTACCATGTGGGGTTGAGCTTCTTGTAGATTATTTTGATTGACGAGGATTGTCTTATTCAGTTGTGTGTAAAATCCAGTGCATCTCCAGTGATTTCGCATACGTGCCTGTTTGGATTTTTCATGTTTATAGCGTGCCTTCCACTCATGTATCTTGGGACAGCATGTGTGCAATTATTCTACTGCACCTCCACCAGGAGCCCTGCTGGGAAGATTATGCCACCCTTGGCAAAGTCCACTTAATGACCTTCATGTTTGAAGGGGGATTTCATTTCTCCCCCCCTCCCCAATCCAAGCAGGCATTGTATCTGCCCACTTTGGTTGGAATCACCAAGTTCCCATCACTATTAAAGGTAGGAAGTGTCTCATGGGAGCACCACGTGTGCCTGGACACTTGGGAAGTCTCCCTTAAAGAAGCAGGACTTCCATTGACAGGAAACATCATCAGGGTTAGAACTTACTGAGTGGGGTGTTTTTATTTCTCTCTGTCGGAGGCCACAGTTTTGAAGATTTGCAAGTATATATTCTGTCCCTTTGAACACAATGCAGACCCGAGAACCAATTCTGCCCCTTTTGGATTTATAATTGACACTTGGCCACAATCAAACCTGGCATTTGGTGTTGCTGAATTACATTATTCAGAATCTGGATGCCATGCTTTCTCTCATAGCTGTCCTATACCAAGAGCATCCAGATTTTGTAAAAGCTTAAATATGGAATTTAGCAAATGCTTTAGATTAAGCTTATGCAATTTAGGTGAATTTGCATGCTTCTGTTGGACAGTGGCACCTTGGCTCATGAACACCTCAGTTCATGACCAAATTGGGTCATGAACAAAAATTTCACAAAAAATTTGACTCGGGTGGCGAATTCTGCATTGGGTGGCAACTGCAGTCGCGGCCATCTCCCCCGCACACCCCCAAGTGGGGAGATGGCCATGATCGTGCTGGGGGTGGGGGGGAGATGGCCAGATCGCACCCATCTTTCCTGCACAAGCACAACCGTGATCTCTGCCATCTCCCCCCAGCACGATTGTGCCCGTTTCTCTCCCCCCCGAGTGCGCCCACGTTTGCATCCATCTCCCACCCCCCCCCCCAGCGCGCTGGGATGACGCGCACGTGCAGGGATGCTGGGGGGGGCGGGGAGACGGCCGCCATCTTTGTAGTTCTTTGCCACTTTGCTTCACATTTTTTCTGATTAAAAAATAGTTACAGAATGGATTATCCTTCTTTACACTGAATCTTATGGGGAAATTTAACTTGACTCACGACCAATTTGGGCCACGACCGGAGTCC